AACTTTTACGGGAAATAAGTGGATATTAAAGGATGTAAGGTATATTCCTGGTCTTAAGAAGAACCTGATCTCTATTGGTTAGTTGGATAGCACAAGTTATGCAATAGAGTTTGGAAAGAGTTAAGCCAAAAGAGTAAAGAACATCTAGTTGTTGCTTTCAATAATCACCATTTATAAGCTGTCTTTTCTTTTCTTTCTTCTCTTGATTCTTCCATGAAATTACTATTGTGTTATTGAATCTTATGAAATCCCACTTTTGAGCTTTATTGTGAAATCTCACATCGGTTGGACAGGAAACAAATCATTCCTTATATAATTATGTCTGAGTGGTTCAGGAGGAATTCTGTTCACATTGGTTGGATAGGGAACAAATAATTCCTTATATAAGTATGTCCGAGAGATTAAGGAGAAATTTTGCTATTGACGACTTTTTAGCTTTATTGTGAGATCCCACATCGGTTGGATAGAGAATGAATCTTTTCTTATATAACGTGTCAATATGTTTGAGTTTTTAAGAAGACAGACTTGAAATCTGTTGGGTTTTGGCTGCACACGTTCAAATCTTGTTGTGATGATTTTATTTAGCTTTATTGTGAAATCTCGACTTTTTTAACTTTGGACAAGGAACGAATCTCCGAGTGGTTGACGATGAATTCTGCTATTGGCGACTTTTTAGCTTTGCTGAGAATGGGTGTCAATATGTCCGAGTGGTGACGACTTTTTAGCTTTGTTGAGAAGCTGTGTCAATATGTCCTAGTCGTTAAAGAGGAATTCTGCTATTGGCAACTTTTTAACTTTGTTGTGAGATCCCACATCGGTTGAATAGGAAATGAATGATCCGTTATTTAAGATTTCAGACAATTGTACCGGTTTGATCTTGTGTCGTGGAAATGATTGAGTTTGCTCTTGAACTCGTAAAAAGAGCGGTGTACTGGTTTGATCCTGAGCCGCGGAAAGGATCGAACTTGCTCTTGAACTCGTAAAAGGAGCGGTGTAGTGGTTGGGCTGTGATCCGAGGAAAGAGTCAAGAAGGGTTTATTCAAATTCCCAAGAGGCGCTTGGGGAGTGGAGTAGGTCGAGTTTGACCGAACCACTGTAAAACTACTTGTGTTATATTTTCTAACCCTTTTCCTATTTAAATTCTAAATTATTGTTAAATTTTATTGCATGGTATTAAGTTTTATTCTTATTAAAAAAAATTAATTATTACATTGTTGAAACCCTATTCACCCCCTCTAAGGTTGCCATATCGATCCCACAATTTGTTTCACCCCTCTAGGATTGCCATATCGATCCAACAATTTGTTTCACCCCCTCTAGAGTTGCCATATCGATCCAACAATTGGTATCACCCCTTCTATGGGTGCCATATCGATCCAACAATTGGTATCAGAGCATGTTGTTTTTATTGATTTTTTTATATAAACTTTATTCTTAGAGATTATGGCAAATCTATGTGTTAAAAACGGTTTTTGTGAATGACAATCAACTTCTAGTCCTCCTTACTTTGATGGAACAAATTATACGTATTGGAAAGCTAGAATGAAAATTTATTTGCAATCGATTGATTATGAATTATGGTTGAATTTTAGTAAAGGTCCTTACATTCCAATAAAAATTGTTAATAACTTTGAGGAGCTTAAGTTAGAGAATGAATTTGATGAACATGATATAAAAAAATGTTCTTTTAGGGCTAGTTCTATAAATTATCTTTATTGTGCCCTAAGTAATGATGAATTTAATAGAGTATCTATGTGTTGTTCAGCATATGAAATTTGGAAATCTCTTGAAGTAACTCACGAAGGAACAAATCAAGTTAAAGAATAAAAAATTAGCATGTTAGCTCATAATAAAATGTATGCAAATGAATATCTAAGGGATGAAAAAGTAGCAAATTTTTGCTTCACGGCTCAAAGTAACAAAGAGAATGAAGAAGACGAGATAATTCTTGAATCTCCTTCTTACAGTGAATTATTTAAAGTTTCTGAGTAGATCAACTTGATTTAGAAAAACTTTGTTCAAAGTATGTTATGCTTCAAAAGAAATATAAGGCTTCAATTATTAAAAATAAGTCTTTATTAAATGAAATTTCTTGCATAAAAGAAAATAATCATAATGTTGTAAAATTTGATATACCCGGTAAAAAGCATGTATTTGATTGTGATGAGAAAACTGCATTAATTGATAAAACTAAGTTTCTTGAACAGGATTGTTGTCAAAAAGATAAGTTAATTAAATTACTCAAAGAAAAGAAATCAAATACTATTGAAGAACTTGGTAAGGCTAAAGAGTCTATTCAAAAGTTAACTATAGGTGCTCAAAAATTAGATAAAATAATTGAAGCACGTAGCCTTATGGTGATAAAAGAAAATTAGGCTATATTGATGAATGTTCTACACCTTCAAGTTCTAAAACAATATTTGTTAAATCATCCCTATTATGTCTAAGCCTAACACATGCAAATTTATATCTCAATATGATAAATCTAATTTGTGTCTATATGTCATTATTGTGGTGTTGAATGTCATATTAGACCTAATTGCTTTAAATTGAAAAATTCTCAAAACATTTCTTCGGGAAGAAAATTTTCTCAAAATATAAAATTTAGCAATGTTTTAAGAAATAATTTTTCTATTCAAAATAGAATACATACACTTAGTCCAAGAAATAAATTCCTGCAGGATGTTGTTTGTTTCTCGTGTGGTAAGTTTTTTAATATGAATGCAAACATGATTTCTAAATTTGTGAAAACTAACTCGTTAGGACCCAAACAAGTATGGGTACGAAAAGGTCAATTTTGAATATGTTTGTTTATACGTTTACTTGAAAGCCTCCAAGAAAAAATGAGTGGTATATGGATAGTGGTTACTCAAGACACATGATGGGAAACCAATCCAAGTTAGCGAGTCTTCCAAGAAGGATGGTGGCTTAGTAACTTTTGGTGACAACAAGAAGGGTAAAATAATTGGTAAGGGTGCTATAGGTAATGACTCTCGTACTCTCATTGAAAATGTACTTTTAGTTGATGATTTTTTGAAATTTACTTGAGTTTTGATGATAAAACATAAAAATGATGTTTTGAAAAGCTAGTTTTGTAAAAGAGTCCAAAATCAAAAAGGTTTTTTAATTACTAAAATTAGGAGTCACCATGGATTGAGAATTTGATAGTGTAGCATTTGAAAATTTTTGTGAAGATAATGATTCTTATAATGACTTCTCCTCTACACTGACTCGTCAACAAAACGGTGTGGTTGAAAGAAAAAAAATCGTACTTTACGAGAATTTGCTAGATCAATATTAAATGAATATGATTTACCTAAATATTTTTGGGCGGAAGCCGTTAATACCGCTTGTTATGTTTCAAATAGAGTTTTAATTAGACCTGTCTAGATAAAACTCCTTATGAACTTTGTCATAATAAAATTTCAAATATTGGGTATTTCAAAGTTTTTGGTTGCAAATGTTTTATTTTGAACAACAAAGAAAAGCTGGAAAAAATTGATTCTAAGACATATATTGGTATTTTTCTTGGTTATTCATCTGCTAGTAAAGCTTATAGAGTTTTCAATAAGAGAACTTTAGTTATAGAAGAATCTAGGCGTGGTATTTGATGAATCTTGTAATGATATTTCTAATGAGTCTATTTCGAGTGATGACTTAGAAAGAAATTTTGGAAATTTACGTGTCAGTAACAAAGGAAAAGAAACTCTTTCAAGTAAAAAAGAAGTGAGCTTAAATGAAAAGAAGGAAGAAGGTTCTTCACCAGTGCAAAAAGTATGGAGGTATGTCTCATCTCATCCCAAGGACTTGATTATTGGTGATCCCGAACAAGGTGTGAAAACTTATTCCTCTATTAATTTATTTAATAATCTTGCTTTTGTTTCTCAAATTGAACCAAAAAGTTTAAAGATGCCGAAAATAATGAGTTTTGGATTTTAGCTGAGAACTAAATAAATTTGAAAGGAACAAAGTTTGGGAATTAGTCTCTAGACCCTCTAATATTTTCATTATTGGAACCAAATGGGTTTTTAGAAATAAAATTGATAAAAATGGGAATATCATTAGAAATAAAGCTAGACTTGTAGCTTAAGATTATTGTCAGAAAGAAGGTATTGACTACGAAGAAACTTTTGCACCCGTTGCTCTATTAGAATGTTACTTACATTTGCTTCTTACAAAAATTTTGTATTATATCAGATGAATGTGAAAAGTGCATTCTTAAATGGTCATATTATGGAGGAAGTTTAGGTAAAACAACCTCCTAGATTTGAAAAGTTTGATTTTCCACATCATGTTTATAAGTTGAAAAATGCTCTTTATGGCTTAAAACAAGCTTCAAGAGCTTGACACGATAGACTTAGTAATTTTCTTATTGAGAATGATTTCAAAATGGGTAAGCTGATTTCAAAATGGGTAAGCTCGACACTACTCTCTTTATTAAAATTAAAGAAAAAGATATGGTATTAGTGCAAATACATGTGGATGATATTATACTTGGTTCTACTAATCCTTCTTTATGTGAAGAATTTTCTAAATGTATGATGAGTATGATGGGAGAGCTTAGTTTCTTTCTTGGACTTCAAACCAAACAACTGTAAGATGGTATCTTTCTAAATCAAGAGAAATACACCAAGGATTTACTCAAAAGGTTCAAGTTCAATGAAGGTAAGATTGCAAAAACTCCAATGAGCACATCTATCAAACTTGACAAGGATGAAAAAGGTAAATGTGTAGACATAAAATCTTATCGAGGTTTGATTGGATCTTTACTTTACTTGACTGCTAGTAGACCTGATATTATGTTTTGTGTATGTCTTTGTGCTAGGTTTCAATCTTGTCATAAGGAATCTAATTTACATGCCATTAAAAAAATATTTGTACAAGGGGTGTCAATATGTCCGAGTGGTTAAGGAGGAACTCGTCTATTGGCGAATTTTTAATTTTATTGTGAGATCTCACATGGGTTGAATAGGGAACGAATCATTCCTTATATAAGGGGTGTCAATATGTTTGAGTGGTTAAGAAGATGGATTAGAAATCTATTGGGCTTTGCCCACATAGGTTTGAATCCTATTGTTGACAACCTTTTTAGCTTTATTGTTAAATACCACTTTGATTGGATAGGAAACGAATCATTCCTTATATAATGGGTATCAATATGTCCTGATTTCAAATCTGTTGGGCTTTGTCGAGTGGTTAAGGAGAAGATCCCACATCTGTTGGATATGAAACGAATGGGCTTTGCCGAGTGGTTAAGGAGAGGAAACGAGTCATTTCTTATATAAGGGGTATCAACATGTCCAGACTTAAAATCTGTTGGGATCGAATGTTGACTTTGGCAATTCAGAGGAAAACGTCGACGAAAAAACTGGTCGAAGGAAAATTTCTTCGAAGGAAAAAATAGCAGAAAGTAAAAGGAGAGGATAGCGGAAAGTAAAAGGAGAGGATAGAACCTAATCATAAATAACAAACCTAATCATAAAAATAGAAAAGAGTGGGAAAAACTTGCGCGTAAAGTTGGCCAAAATGGCCAGCAAAAATTACACTCTTCCATTGAACCGTGAGCGTGAATTCAGAAATTTCAAAAGTCAAAAACAACTTAACGAAATCTAAGGACACCACAGCTTTTATCTAACAATCTCCTCCTAAAAGTTGTGCTATATCTACCTTATTATTTGAACTCTGATCTTTGAGCGTAATTCTTCAAATTTTACCGCCGCCAAGACTTGGTGAAAATGTTTCCAAGTTGTTCCTCTATTCGGATGAAATCAATCTTGATGAGCCCTCGATCTTCACATTCTCGGATGTAGTGAAATCTAATTTCTATGTGCTTGCTCCAGTCGTGCAAAACTAGATTTTTTTATTAGGGAGATCATAGCTTTGTTGTCATGTATAGCATTGGTGGATCGCTTTCTCTCCTTATGAGTTCTTCCATCAGTCACCCAAGCCAGACCCCCTTTATTGCCGCCGTCGAAGCGGTGATGTATTCTGCTTCGCAGGAAGACAAAGCAACTCCCTTTTTTTTTTGTTGATTGCCAGCAAATCGCGCCGCCTGAGTGGAAGTAGATCATCCCGCTAGTGCTCTTACGATCATCAACGTCATCGGCCATGTCACTATCACTGTAGCCGATTAGCTCAAATTTCGTCTTTCCTTTCCCTGCGTTGTATTTCACACCCCAACCACTGGTTCCAGCCACAGCGCAGGATGTGCTTGACGGCCACAAGATGTTCCTCCCGAGGTGCTTCTATAAATCTACTCACATATCCAACTAAGTAAGCAAGGTCAGGGCGTGTGTTTACTAGATAGCGCAGGCTCCCTACAATGCTGCAGTAATTGGTGGTGTCGACTATCGTCGTAGTGCCGACCTTCCTTAGTTGGAGTCGGGCCTCCATCGCGTCATTGTAGGGTTACTGTCTGCAAGCCCAATTGTGTCCAGTAGCTTCTTTGCTCATCTTAAAATTCTTTGACATCTCCCTCTTGAACCTTCCGAGGACTTCCATATCACCTCTAGTGATTATGAGGTCGTCGACATACACTCCCACAATCAGCCGTTGCTCATCGTGGCCGTGCGTGTACATGCCATGCTTAGAGGCACAGCGCTTGAACTTTAGTGACAGTAGGATACTGTTGAGCTTCGCGTTCTAGTCTCGTGGTGCTTGCCGAAGCCCGTAGAGTGCCTTGTGTAGGCGCAGTACCTTATCTGGGTTGTCGTTGTCCAGGAAGCCAGGTGGTTGTCGGACGTAGACGGTCTCTTTCAGCTCTCCATTAAGGAAAGCGGACTTCACGTCCATGTTGTGGACCTCCCAAGAGTAATGTGTCACGATTGCCAGCAAAAGGAGGACGGATTCTAACCTTACCACCGGCGCAAATACCTCTTTGAAGTCCACTCCTAGCTTCTGGACGTAGCCCTTCGCCATCAGACGGGCCTTGTGCTTTACAACTTCTCCCTTTTCGTTGCGCTTCAGTTTGAAGCCCATTTGAGCCCTATGGCTCGGTGTCCCGGTGGCATATCCTCCAGACTCCACGTCTGGTTCTCGGTGATGGATGTCATCTCCTCCTGCATTGCCTTCAGCCAGTATGACTTCCTTTCTGCTTTGGCTAGCTCGCGCACCGCCAGTCCAGGTGGTTCACCTCCTCCCACTAGGTCGTCCATCTTCTGGTACCTAGCCACCAGATCATCGTCCTGTTCGGCATCCAGCGTTGAATCTGTAGTCCGTGGTGTTGCGAACTCCACTAGTTTAGGGGGTGCACCTACTGGCAACGGTGACGGCTCCTGATGCTGGGCTCCTCCTTTTTCCGGCTCGGTGACAAGGTACTCCACCGTGAATTGATTTGGATTATGGTCTGCCTCGATCACGTCATTTCACTGACAGAAGGTGCTTTCATCGAAGACGACATAGCGAGACACATGAGCTCGCCCCCCCGCAGGATCATAGAGTCTGTACGCCTTGCTCTCGGGTTCGTAGCCGATGAAGACAACTTTCAGCCCCCTGGGATCGATTAGGGGGTGCACCTGCTGGCGACGGTGACTGCTCATGATGCTGGACTCCTCCTTCTTCCGGCTCGGTGACAAGATACTCCACCGTGAATTGATTTGGATTATGGTCTGCCTCGATCACGTCATTTCACTGCCAGAAGATGCTGTCATCGAAGACGACGTAGCGAGACACGTGAGCTCGCCCCCCCGCAGGATCATAGAGTCTGTACGCCTTGCTCTCGGGTTCGTAGCCGATGAAGACAACTTTCAGCCCC